TAAACATGCGCATGGGGTGCTTACACGCAAGGAACTCGGGGTTCAGAAACTGAGGACAACTGCAACGCCAACTGTTGAGGCTTTTCACGTACTAGTAATGGGTTGAGTACTCTCCATTCGCTACTTTCACTGCGTACTGTTTCCAGTATGCGTTAAAGCGTTCCTCCCATGCAGGTGGACCTGGGTCGAAGTTGCTCGAAACCCCGAAACCCCGAAAGCACCACTACCACGGCGGCAGCCCCTGCGAGTACTACAGATGCACCCGGTACCACCACCAATACGCCTGTTACCACGTTGCCTGCTCCTGCGACAACTATGGCTGTACCCGGCACCACCACTGCCGCTCCGAGCAGCACCACGTTGGCTCCCTGCACCACTACCAGTACGCCTGCTAGCACGCCGGCTGCTCCTCCGATAACCACGACTGCACCCAACACCACCACTAAGTCTCCTGGCACAAAGACTGTGAAGACTCGTCCATCGACGACGAAATTTTTGCGCACGATGAGTTCTCCATCAGTCAATGGTTACAAAGTTGTGTGTTACATGTTGTGATTAATACATTTATTTCTTTATTGGAAAACTGGCAGCTTTGGGTGCTGCAACTGCATAAACTGAAATCGTGCTGTGTGACGGTCGTAAGGGTTAGACGCACAAAAGTTACGAAGGTCCGGAGGTTCGGACTTCAGGACCGGATACTCTCGGCTTGGCCAAGAAGAACACAGCAAGAAAGGAGTAGATCCAATGTTAGGCAAATGTAAAAGTGAATATTCTAAAAACTAGCTAAGGCTGAGGATCTTTGGGGAAAGGTCCTGTAGAATAAAAGGCAAGACGGTCAAATTCGAAGGTAGTCGGCCCGTCGAATAATATACCTTTGCGATGGTAATACCACGATGTGGTATAGTAGTACAAGCCCATGCTCCAGCTCCGTCACAAGTCCCGCGGCGAAGATTCGACCCTCTCGTCGAATTAGAAATGAATAAACGGAGTTGGGTAGGTGGTGTCGGGTAGGTCAAAAAGGGTAAAAAGTCCAGCCTGTTTTCGTCGCCACAAAAGTAGTGATGCAGGCGCTGACAACCGACGAAACAGAGGATAGTCATGCAGATGGAGGAGCCGGAAGGAGGTCGCGTGAAAATGAGTGGTCATGGAGCACGGTACGACGAGGCCACGACAAAATGTACGACGGCACCCGGGACCAGGTGCTGGTAGTCTCAGACTGGACGGACATAATATCGCAGACTGGGCATATAATTGGACTAAATATGTCGGAAAACAAGGGAATAGTCGGTCAAAGTAGTCCGTCGGACAACAGTATTCTGACAGGAACCGACTGTAGTCTCCATCCATCACTCTGTCAGGCAGCCAATCAGAGGCGACGATGAGTTGACTTCGCCAGTTGGTAGGATCGTCGATTTGTGGTTCTCTGGGTAGGGCATTTTCCAACTTACGCGGCATGGTTCCTACGTCATGGGCAGCCGGGAAGAAGAAGCGGTCGTCGTTGTTGTCTTTGAAACAGTTGAGTCGCTTGAAGCGGCCGTCGCCCCTGACGATATCGCCTATCGCCCAATCACAGAAGCGGATGAAACACCAAGCGAACCTGTCCAGTTCGCTTCGCATTGATGAGGAAGGGGTGAAACGTCTGGAGCGCATCCGACATTCCTTGTCTGAGGCCGTGAAGAAGGCTTACATCGCAGCGCGTAATCGGAAACCGTGGGAGCAATGGGTGGAGAACTTTGTCTCGTTCGTGCCAGGTCAGACGAAGGCTGAGCGGTCGTGGAATTACAGCCTACGCCGGTTTTGGGAGTAGCACAGCGAGGTTTTTGGAGACGGTATTTCTGGATCGGGGTACTGCCGAGGAGGGATATTATGTACGTCAAGCATCCTTCGGTAGTTGTGATGATGCGAGTGGCTAGGTTCTTGCTTCGTCCAACGATCCCAAACAGAAACAAGAGAAGGCCAAGAACGAGTGGGTAAGGCTGGTGTCTGAGCTGCATAGGTTCGCCGGGACGTCGGTGTTCCACTTTCTGTTTCACAATGTCCAACCGTATTGGGCCGAGATAACGCAAGAGCCATACAGTACGGCGTCGATGCAGACCAGCCTGGGCGAAGAGGAGACCGTACGATACATCGAGACGCACGGGACGAGCCGATATCGACCGACATCGTCGAGTTTTCGGGAGTCATGCTTCTACGACATCGTCGCGTTTTCGGGAGTCATGCTTCTACCTCGTTTTCAGGCCTACACGTTCGACCCAGCGTTGCCAGCGGCGATGCACGAGACGTGGGCTTGGGATTTCTTCTCTGCACAGATGCGACTCAAGAAGGCGCCAGGTTGGGTGGGTCCCGTGTACGACGAGGCGTACTCGGTCCTGGCGGCGAGGCGTAGCAGTCCTTTCCCATTTGTACAATTTCCAACCGGCATTTACGAACAACCTGTCTGGGTAGGAAGGCAGAACTCGACGGACCCAAACCTGCAAGGTGAGTTTGTGGCGGTCTTGGGTCAGGCAAAAGCGGTGCGGTTAAGTACAGAGCAGCCCGTGGATAATACTGACGTGTTGAGAGGTCAACCAGCGGACGTCCGAGGGGTGACGTTAAAGAATCGTAAGTAGGGCCGTCGTGAAGCGTACATATATTCAGTAATCCATTTCGCTTTGATGTATGTGTCCTTGTTGTCGAGGTAGTGTAGAACTGAACCAGATTTTGGGGTTCCACGTCGATGTCTTTGTATCGTTTCGAACGCCGAAGTGGTGGCAATCCCATGTCCATTCGTCGAGATGTTTCGAAGTCGTCCACAAAAGATCGGTATGCGGCCAGTTTGGAGTCGGCCATCCAGTACTTAAGACCGTCGGCATGTTCGACCAAGTACTCCTTTTCGCGGGAGTTAGGTAGACGTCGCAGGTCGACTACCCGGAAAATCGGCGACGAGGTAGATGAGTAAGAAACGTCGTCATCTGGAAAGGACACTCGTTCCACGAAGCTGGACGAGGGCAGGCAGTCGATCGACAATTCGTCGGAAGCTTCGTCAGCTTCGGGGATCTCGTCGTCGAACGGTCGTGAATAGTAGCCCCGAAATGGTTTGAGTCGGTCGACGTTCACAGTTACCATCTTGTCAGGGTGTGATGGTATGTCGATCTTGTACGTGTTTGGTCCCATTTTGCGTTCGACTCGGAAGGGTCCATGCCAATGCATGGCTAGCTTAGTCGTCCGATGATCGTCTGGTCGAGTCGACTTGGCGAAGTATTTGTAGACCCAGACGGCTGTCTGTTCGCCAAACTCGATGGGTTTTTGGTTAGCCTTGGTCCTTGCACTCTTGTTTTGACCAGTTGATCAGTTGTTGTTCCACGAGGTTTCGTGTCTCTTTCCAAGACGCGGCCAGACGACGCTTATATTGGGGCAAGTCGTCGGACTTCCAGGAGGGTTCGGCGTTCATAAACGCCAAGTCCAACGGCAGAGTGGGGGTTCGTCCAAAGAGGCAAAAGTAGGGGGAGTCTCCAAGAGTTTCGTGATGCGACGTGCGATACGTAAAGAGCAGACGCGGTAGACAGGTGTTCCAGTTTGAGTTGGTGAGTGTCCAAGGGCACAGCGCCTTCGTCTAGGTATGCCCTCAACGCTACGATCCAAGTGTCGTTCGCTTGTTCGTTGTACAGTCGGGGCGAAAGTCAGCCCCCGTCGGTCGTACAAGTCAATGAACTGGGGGGCTTTGCTCGATGTAGGTTCTGGTAGTCTCGGCTGCGTGGAGTTTGCTTCGGACGAAGGCGACCTAGTTCGACTAGATTCTTTCCCCGTCGTGAGGTCTGGGTAAGTCTGGGCCAGACGTCTCATACTTCTCGTTTGGATCGGACAAACTGGTAGATGTGATAATCCATCAGCAGCGCCATTGAGTTATCCTGCTCGGTGTATCACGGTATAATCCAGTCCTTCTATTTCCATGCCCATCTGGCTAGTTTGTGGTTGCCTGATCTGGATCCTTGGTTGAAGAGCCAAGTAAGAGCTTCATGGTCGGTGTAGATGGTGAAGTGTCGCCGGTCAACATATGGACGGAACTTGCGCGTAGCCCAGACGACGCCGCAGCATTCGATTTCAGAGATACCCATCTCCTTGGTTATCCACTTCTGTTGGGCCTTGGAGAGAGACTGGCTTGCGTATGCAATGACGCGGTTCTTGCCATCTTTGTTTCTGCATGAGGACCGCGCCCACAGCGATGTGACTTGCGTCGACCCAAATATCAAAGGGCAGGTCGAAGTCGGGATGAGCGAGGATGGGAGGCGAGACGAGGCTGCGTTTAAGTTTGTCAAGGGCTACGTCGCAGTCTGGTGTCCAGACGAAGGTCTCGTCCGTGACCAAGGCTGAAAGTGGTGCTGCAATCTCAGAGCAGTCTCGGACGAAACGCCTGAAGTAAATTGCGAGGCCGAGGAATGCACGGACTTCTGACACATGAGCGGTTTGACTCTGAGCACAGACTTGATCTTCTCAGGGTTCGGGAGTATGCCAGCCGGTGTGATGATGTGTCCCAGGAATGGCGAGCGACCTCACTTGCATTTGGACATTTTGAGCTTGAAGCCTGCTTCTCGGAACTTGCTCAAGACTTGGGTGAGTCGGACGAGATGAGACCCGAAGTCTTCACTGAAGACGATGCAGTCGTCCAGGTAAACGAGGTATGTCCGCCACTTGTAGTCAATCAAGATGGGCTCCATGAGAGCTCGAAGCATGGGACTACATTACACAGGCCGAATGGCATGACGAGCCATTCGTACAGTCCATACTTGCAGGTAAATGCAGTCTTCTTGATACTTCCTTGGGACATCGGGACATTCCAATATCCAGACGCGATGTCCATAGTTGAGAAGAGTTTGGCTCGTCCGAGTACGTCCAATAGGTCGTCGATACGAGGCATCGGGTACGAGTCTTTTACTGTGACGCTGTTGAGTTTGATGTAATCAATGCAATAACGGATCGATACGTCCAGCTTCCTGATCATGAGGACGGGATTGGCCCATGGGCTCTTGGACGGTCGGATTAGACCGAGGTCTAGGTACTGGTTCAGTTCCGGATCCATGATGTCGCCTTCAGCCTTTGACGTGCGGTAAGGAGCGGATCGGATCGGTTGCGCGTCGCCCGTGTCGATACTGAACTCCACTAGATGTGTCTTTCCAGGGGCTTTGGACGTGTCGACAAATATTTCGGCGAACTTCGCCAAGGTCGTTCGTAGTAGTTATCGTTGGTCAATGCTGGAAGTTGAGTCGGACCAGTCGATGGGTAGTTCCTTCGCTGCACTGGTCGTCGTTTGCACTGGGCAGACGATATTGGGGGGCCCAATTTGAGTGAGGACCCTCCCGGGTACTCCGTTCAGTGGCGAGTCAAACGAGTCGTCCGGCTGTAGGCGAGACAGATGGGGTTGCGGCGAAGAATTTGGAGTATGTTCGGTGTACGTCGGGGGTAGCGCCATCCAAGTTCCAAGATGTGTGTTGGCTTGTAGTGTGAGCGGTTCAGAGGATCGTGTTGGACGACGTTTTGCAGTATAACGCGGCTGCAATCTGTGCTTGCGCGTTCGTTCGGGATTCCACGAGAAACGTAGTGGACGAGGGGAGATCAAGTCAGGCCAAGTTTGGGACATGTCGAACAGATCGAGGTGGGACGGTAATAGTTTCGGCCACCGTCGTGAGCCCGACCAGGTGTGAAGTAGGTACGGAGCCGTCCAGAGGCTCGAGAGATAGAATTCGCTGTCCGTCTGACAGTGTCAGGGTACTGGGAAGTACAGAATGCAACGCCCACCGAAGATATTAGTGTGTCACACAACAAATTATCTGGAATTATAATACTTCGCACCCGCGCGCTTTTCAAAATCAAAATCCACACATCATCGCACACAACCAAACATGCGCCGGCGTACGCAATATCCGATTTCTACCAAGCTCGAAGCAATCGGTCTCCTCGAGTCTATGTCCTGTCACGAGGTGGCGAGAGTACTGAAAGTCCCTCGGCGCACAGTTCGCAGCTGGCTGACCCAGCGCTCCGAGCTACTGGCGTACGACGGCAACAAGAAAAACAATAAGCTCGAGCCATGTGGCCGCTACGAAACCCTCCAGGTTTAGTTGAATTCATAACTCATGTTCGCGATAATGAACGTGCTTTGACAACAACGCACATGATTACGTAGATTAAAGTGAACCAAAGGGAGTGGTTGCTCAACTACCTCGCAACTAAAAAGCCGGATGCTGCCTACAACTCACTGCTCAAGCTACTGCAGCGATTTTGCAAGCGCCACGGCTTCTCGCGTCAACGTCCCGCGAAGAACAAACTCAAATAAACCGTGCTGGCGGAGGTTGCTGCGGAATTCGCCGGTGATTTCCATCACAAGTATGCTTCCTGCTCCAAGGACTGCGTGTTCAACGATGAGACCGGAATGTACTACGACTTACCTCCCAGCTACATATGTGCAGTTCGTGGCGGAAGCTCCAAGATCTCCGCTGGTGAGAAACACTCGATGCGTATGACCGCAGTCCTGACTGTGCGGGCTGACGGAACGAAACTGCCGCTGATGTTCATCATGCGTGGCACACCTGGTGGTCGGATCGAGTCCTCGGAGTTCCCAACTTTTCCAAGCGAACACTACTATGCTGTTCAAACCAAGGCCTGGATGTGTCAGTACCTGCGGGAGGTGCTGGGGGTGCTGGGGGAGAGCATCGAAGAGCCATCCGTTGTTCACATGGACAACTGCGAGTGCCACGTCTCTGCGGCATCGTACAAGATCATGTACGAGGAATTGGGTACGCACCTCTACCCCCCAACTCCACGTCCGTGTGCCAGCCGCTCGACGTGGGAGTCATGGCGCCTTTCAAGCGCAACCTCCGCAACTTGTGGCTCCTCGAGGAGCACATCATTGGCGACGACGAAGATCCGTACTCACTCACCGCTCAGCAAAAACGCATGGCCATGATGCAGCGTACCATCTCTGCGTGGGATATGGTATCTGAAGACGTGGTCCGTCGAAACTTCGAGAAGGCCATTCCAACACCTGACATAATGCAAACCAATAAAAATATTCGTTGTGCTTATGTATTGTATACGAATATTAGGATATTTTCAAAGCGAATATATTTTTTTGAAAAAAGTTCACCGCGCCCGGGAATCGAACCCGGGCCTTACACAAGACGGCCAACACGTTTTGAATGACCCTATTGCTTGCATCTTTTCCGTACTTGAAGTGATTCTGATCCCAAATCTTTGATGTGGCACGATGCACATCGTGATTAACGAACGTTATGTCAATATTTGAAGATATTTTGATCGGGGGAATTTGGCGGATGAGGTGACTTAGCGAGGGGGGACTTTTGGCGATCGAGTAGTAGTCTTGCGCCAATCTGGATGTAGTTGGAGCTGGCATCAAAACTTC